TTTCAACATTTTTATGCTCGTGTGCAATGCTTACAAAGATAACTCTGTAGTATGCACTTTCACAAAATCAAATTTGTAAAAAATGCACACAATGAATTAAAACTCTGTGTCTTTGCATAAGGTATACCACCAGTATTGGAAATGATGCAAAGTTGAGATATGTAGCATTATAAATTGTAAAATGCTGAAAATTTGAAATAATGAAAGAAAACTATAAAAAGAAAAACCAAAACTAAGAAGAAAATTCAACCAATGAAAAAGTGCATTGCAGGGAGATATTACAGTCAGTAGCAAGAAGTAGTCCACCAGAGCTGACCTACTTTTATAATCATTAACTGTATTTTGAAGTCTTGGATCAGGGTGAGTAGTGGCTCATTTTCTTCTAGAGCTTGGCTCTCCTTGGAGAATATGTTCACATTTATTTCTTGTGTGGGACCTTCCCCACCTAGTCCACTGAGACTCACACACTAATCTCTTCTAGACACTCCCTCATAGTAGCACTGGAAATAATGCTTTACCAGTTTCTAGGTATCTGTCTGCTTAACAGGATACAACTGTCTTCTGTCTTCTGAATTTACAGTGTGGAAAGGGTATCTTTTCATTCTGGGCTCCCTGAGCAAGACAAAGCTGGCAGGGTAAAAATCTCAGCACTGACAGTTCTTATCAATTGTCCATTCTATTTATAGTTTCTCAAATAATGTGGATGCAATCTACAGTCGTTTCCCTTAAATATAATCCTACCTCTGGGAAGCCCTTGTTCTCTGAGACATTACCTCAGGGAAAATTATATTGATTGTGTTTTACAGGAAAGGAAGAAGGAAGGAAGTTGTGTCAGACCAAAGTGGCATCAAATCAATACAAAAATCATGGGAAGTTGAGAGAGACCTCTGTATTTGTCCCAACCAGCTTTGCACACAGTGCTAGTTCCTACCTGGAGAGATGCTGGTCTGTCTGCCTGAGATCAGAACATCCTTGCTCCTAGATGGAGCCCTGTTCTGTTGCTGGATAACTCCAATTCTTACAATTATTTTTCACATGCCAGGTTAAAAATGTGCTCTTTGTAACTTGCATTAATTAGTTCAACTCTGTTCTCAACAGCTGCATAGAATAAGTTCAGGCATTGACTGACTAATCAGTCCATTCATTTATTTATTTATTTTGTACTGAATGCCTACTATATACAATAAAGCCTCAATCTCCAGGAGCTGAAAGATCAGTAGATGATAACCTGGATATATGTGCTGTGTTGTACATGCCATGTGCTCAGTATAGATTCAGTGCTATAAGAATGAGGAGAGAAAATGGAAGGACAGAGTCTAGTAGTCCTGTAGGTATGGTCAGTGCTATGGTCTGAGAGTTTGTCTCCTCCAACCATATGTTGAAATCCTAGTCTTCCCACAGTGGATGATATTTGGAAATGAGGACCTTTGGGGAGTGATGAGGTCAGGCGGAATAGGGTCTGTTATAACTGGTGCACATGAAACCACTCCCTGGAGACGGGCATTTTCGAGGAGAAAGAAAAGTTTATTTCAGTGAACAGACACTAAAATCAATGGATTAAATGGGGATAGATTTTAGCGGGAAAAAGCCGATTTTATTACATCTGTGGGTGGATGGGCTAACATTGAAAGAGAGACATTATCAACTAACTGGGAAAGGAATTAAGCTTTTTTAAAGGCTAAGGAATCTGGGATGAAATGTTTATGATTGAGTCCAAGGACAGTCAGCCCAGGCGTGTAGACAATCACTGGACTTTTTGGAGCCAGAGAGATTGTCTTCTGTTTACTGAGAAATAGCCTGTCATTTGCTGAAAGAAGCCTGTTTGCTTTGTTCTGTTTGTTTGTGAAGGACTCACTTAGGTCAGGCATGACAGTGTCCATAAAAAAGAGGCCCCTAGAGACCCCCCTTCCTTCCACCACATGAGGTTATGGCAAAAACCCACATAGGAAGCAGGTCTTCACCAGACACTGAATCTCCTGGTACCTTGATCTTGGGCTCAGCCTCCAGAATAAGTTTCTGTGGCTTATAAGCTACCTAGTTGATGGTATTTTTGTCATAGCATCCCAAATGAACTTTCAAAATCAGCAAACTCATCATGGAGGAGGTGGCATTTAAAACCTCTTATCTTTAATGACTTAAAGTTGAACGGCAGATTTGTGGATGTAGAGACTGAAATAATAGAGTGTTGGGGAAGTGAGGGGTAGTTTACACTAATTAGAGCCTAATGTTTGGATTGGACAGTGGAAGAAAGGGCTAGAAAAAGTTGGCCAAGCATTTTGAGACTCAAAAGGCTTTGTGTGTCTGGATTGGAGGGTAAGTCCAGGGAGCAGTGGAAACTGATTGTCGGGCAGGCAGGATTCAGACTAGCTGGAGTGCTGGGATGCAGAGATTCAGGCTCATCGAGGGAGGAGGGGCAGAGCTCTGGGACCAGTGCTGAGCAAGTGACACTTGTGTGATCACTCTGGAGGCAAGAGACGGAGGCCGGAGGAGAAGCAACCTGCCAGGTATGGGAGATAATATCTGAGAGCCCTGTGGCAGCCCCTGCAATGGAAGTTGGGCCCAGTAATGACCTCAGGAAGTCCTGGAAGCAGCCCTTGGAGCTACCTTCTGGGTCTTCCTCTCCAGCAGAGCATTGCTTTCCCACTCCCCATACTTTCAGACTCTTCAGATCAGCAAACAAACCCATCTTGATTACCATCTGCAGGCAGTTCTAAATAATCAGTGGTAGAGACTCTTAGGGTCCAAATGTCTGTAATGAAATATTTCTGATTGATTTCTGTGCCTCCAGTAAGTCCTACGAGTAGGTTGAGCCCATATAGTGAAAGAAGCTTTAAGAATCCTTTAGGATAAAATTGTGTGTGCACTCATGGGTTGAAATCTAATAAGCTTTTCTTTGGGTGATCCATGTATGCTTAGGCAATATGGCCTGTCATTGTTGTTACTCCTTTTTCTACTGAGCTGTGTTGAGGTCTAATTTGAAAAGAGGGGCTGCTATAAGCAAAGGAGATGCAATTGAAAGCCTTGCTGAAATGTGCAGCTTTGAACTTGTCTGTTGCTCACAAATCAGTGGATAAACTGATTATCATTAGTAATTTTGGGGAAACTTCCATCTTATTTTCTCACATAAACCTGAGTTTTTTGTGCCTAATTTTAAACTTCATTATTAATGTTTATTGAGTGCCCACGATGTGTGACTTTTTGTTTGCTGGGCTATATTCGTGACCAAAATAGTCAAAGGTTCCTGCCCTCCTGGAGCATAACTAGCTAAAAGAGACAATGAATAAGTAACAAATGAATGACTGAGTTAGAAGGAGATAAATGACATAAGAAAAAGAGAAAGGGACGGGGAGAAGGGAACAGGATTCCTGAGTGGGGAAATGAGCAGGTTGCAATCTGAGGGAGTTGTCAGGATCCTCTTCCCTAAAGAGCTGACATTTGAGCAAAGAATGGTAGGGGAGGGAATCAGGTGCGCAGGTATCTGGAGGATGAAGATTCCAAGAAAAGAAACCAACACCAAAGTGCTAAGACAGTGAGCACCCAAATTGGGGGAGAGACTTAGTGCTTTTCCATCCACCCTGGACAAATATTGGCGTGTTGCAACAAGGAGCTAGGAAAAGACCAAAGTTAAGTTTATTTGTATAAATGATAAAATAGAATTATTTAGGAAAAAAAAAGCCTTGTGAACTTATTTAAGGAGTTGCACAGGGTGTTAGGGGAAATTTCCTGGCTTGTAGGCTTTTTGGGTTTGGTCCTGGCTCCACCGCTTACTGCCTATGAGATCTTAAGTGAGTTATTTAACCTGTTTCTCAGTTTTAACATCTATAAAATGAGCCGAACAAGAACCAACCTTGTAGGATTGTTTCAATGAATAAATGAGTCACTGTAAATGAAAAGCTTGGAACTGTGTTTGACACACCGAGCTCTCAAACATTGGCTACTGATATTCTTTTTATTACTAGTATTTTGATTACTTTTATAGGGGTTGGTGCCTTAGTCTTGTATATTCTTCAGGGGTGTCTTAGAGGTTTTTATATTGTGCATGCTGTGTGTTTATGCGTTTGTATGATATGTTTTTATGTAGGTATTGAGAGTATGAAGCTGTATGTAAAAATTTTCCTCCTTAGCATATAGTAAATCCTCAGGAAATGTTGGTTTTCTTCTCTTCTGGCAGCATTTTACAGCAAAGAAAAACAATAGAGGGCTGTCTCTTTCCGCACACTATCAATGCAGTTTTTTTTTTTCTGCAGTGAAGGCCAGGTGAAACATTCTGCAGACTCAAACTTGGAAACTTATTTTCCCCATAGCACCACCAGTAGAAGACAGGGATTCCCAATGGAATATTTTGAATATCACTAGAAAGTAAAGAATTAGCAGTAGAGGAATGAACAAGGAGGGAAGCAAAATGAAGGGGGAAAATGAACCAATGGGAAGACACACCATGAAGATGATGCCACTTTGGGAAGTGGCCTCAAACTAGGAGTCCCTTTTTCTTGTGGACCTTAGAAAAGAAAATGGGTGGGGTTAATCCAAAAGGAGCAAGAGTCATGAGTGAACAGGCTGACAAAGGATCTCTGGAGGCCTCCCTCAGCTCCTCACTGGCCCCTACCCTACTGCTACATTTACAAACCTTGTTAGCCTACATTTCTGTCTCTGCCTAAAAGCCATTAAGACTTCAATACAAAGAGAGTTTCTTTTTAATAATATGGAGTCAAAGACATTGTGTATGGAGGTAGTAGATGTTGCAAATCAGCTTTCTAGTCCTCTGGGATCTACCTCCAGCATATTTGGTAGCTTATGTGAGCCACTGGGGTCTGTTACCTGGAAAATATCAGAGCTATAGAATCTTAGGGAGTCACGGGAAATTGGCAAGCCCGTGCTCCAAAGATACTTCAAGGTCTTAGGGGGAGGGAGGGATGCTGTGTTCCCCAGAGCCATGGCTGGCTGGTGGGTTAGGCTGCAGCCAGGTGCCCACTCACAGTCTGCTGCTGTTTGATTGACAGGTGTGGCTGCTGTCTCCAGTGGTCTGGATCATTCCTTCTTGACAACACAGAAAGATGGAGAAGGAGCATGTTATACATCTCTGATTTCCAACATCTGTTACTCACCTCAAGAGGAGTCTACATATTTCACTGGGATTCTTCAGAAGGAAAACAGTCACATTACTAGTTCTGAGAGCCCTGAGGAGTTGGGGACCCCTGGACCCTCCTTACCAGATGTGCCTGGGATGGAGTCTTGTGGCTTATTTAGTTCTGATTCTGGAATAGAGATGACTCCTGCAGAGTCCACTGATGTGAACATGATCCTAGTGGACCCTCTGGGCCAGATGAAAGCAGAACCCTGCAAGTACATTGACATCACCAGGCCAGAGGAGGTGAAATGTCAGGAGCAACATCGCCCTGACTTGGAGAATAAAGACTTGGACTTTAAGAGCAAGGACACTGAAATCTCAACAAAACCAAAAGGGGTCTGTGAATCTGACAGAGCAGCTCCTGTGGAGGGGAAAATCATCAAGGACCACTTGTTTGAAGAATCCACCTTTGCTCCTTACATAGATGACCTCTCGGAGGAGCAGCATACTCCTCTGGTCACAGCCCCTGTCAAAATCACACTGACTGAGATTGACCCTGCTGTCATGACTGCTGTCCAAGACAAAACGCCAGAGAAGCAAGACATCTGTCTGAAGCCAAGTCCTGACATGGTCCCCACTGTCACTGTCTCAGAGCCCGAAGATGACAGCCCAGGATCCATCACTCCTCCATCTTCTGGAACAGGTAAAGGCACTGGGATTTTCTGCCCTGAACCCCAAAGCACTTACAAGGAGGAGAGACTTGCATCCAAAGTACTTGACTTTATGGGCCCCTCAATTTCACTTAGTTTTAGGTGATTTCATTAACATGTCACCTTTTCAGGTTTGTGTCCATTGTAGAAAGGCTGAGATCCAGTATTTCACCTAAAGTCCCATCAGATTGTCCTTGTAAAATCTTTCTTCATCTGAGGAGGAGACAAACCTTAACACCCAGTGAGGTGATGCCTGCTTCTAGCTTAGCTCTCTTCCCAGCCTGGTGTCCTGGCTGGTCATGGGCAGCATGCCTGGCCAGGCTGCCTCGGTGGAAGAGCTTTGATACACCTGGCTAGGTTCTAAGTCTGTCCAGTGAAGGAGGAGGGAGCACATGCAAAAAAACCTCTGCAAAAGGCATTCCTCCTCCTTCTTTCTCAGCAATTGTGCAATTGTCATTTTCATTTCACTAGTTCGTTGAAGTTGTGCCTACAATTTCAATTTTGAAATGAAAAGATAGATGTAGTTTGAACCACAAAGAAAAATCTAATTCACAAGGCTGTGATCTTAGGCCACACTCAGACACAAAGGGGGCCTACTCCACCCCGGAGAAAGGCCTCAGCCCTCCCTGTGCCACCCCAGCCGTGTGCTCTGTGACCCATGTATCTCCTCCCAGGCCGCTGGAGGACCGTGAGAGGTCCTGGAATCTCCCCTACCTTTGGTAGTGCCATTGGAATATACGGGAAAAGCCCCAGTCAGCACCTTTCATTGACGCTGGAAACAAAGTGGGTCCAGGCTCAAGGGGAGGGGGAGTCGCTCTGAGCCCTGTACTGCAGTGCAAGGCCAAGTATTAGAACAGAGCAGGCTGACTGAAAGTCCCTCTGCTGCCTATCCAAAGATTTAGCAGGACTTCCTCCTCATCCCTGGCACTTCCTCAGACTCCTTCAGCTCTAAAGCTCCTCCTAGCATCCACCGTACCAAGTTCAGACTTAAATTTATTCATCCACTCAGCACTGCCTTTGGCCAGGCACCCTCCAGGGCACCTGTCCTGGAGCCAGTGGCTCCCAGGAGCACTGAGGCTAGGTTGGCTCTCAAGAAGTCAGCAGAAGTAAACAGCCCTGGGGGGTCTGGTGTCCAACCCCAGGAGGTGTAAAGATGCAGCGCACTGCACACAGAGGTTAAGGGAGATTGCAGTTGTGATGATGGATAAGGAACCTGAGGGTCCAGGGGGATGAGATGTGACTTGTTCAGCCTCCAGCAGGAGGGACTCAAACCCCCCTTATACTCTTTCCTGCAGTGCAGAGTGAGACTCTTCTGTTCCTGCACGATGTAAAGATGCCAGCTGAGTAGTCAGCTGTGTTTTCAGAGCTCCAGCAGGGTTTGCAGGTCAGTCCAGAATTTGGCTGGTCCTCAGGACACTGGAATGGCCAGCATGGAGAGGTCCACTGACCTGGCCTCCATGCCTCATAGAAAGTCACAGCTCACACAGTTTGTGATGAAGATGTGACACAGGGCCCACACGTTATTAGGGGGCTTTCTTTTTGGGGGGCTTCTGGAGCAACTTCAAAAGAAGACAGACACATCTGACTCACATGATCATGGAGCGTTTCTTCTTCCTTTCCTTTCCTTTTTCTTTTTCTTCCCTCCCTCCCTCCCTCCTCCCTCCCTCCTTCCCTCCCTCCCACTTCCTTCGTTCCTTCCTTCCTTCCTTCCTTCGAGGTGCCAAGGATTAAACCCAGGGCACTCTACCACTGAGCCACACCTTCAGTCTTTTTTTTTTTTTCTAAGAACAGAGTCTGACTTCAACTTGCCTCAGCCTCCTGAGAAGCTGGCATTACAGGCAGATCTGGGAGATTTATGGCCTTGGGTTGCCCGCTTGACAGTGTAAGATGAGAGCACTGATTTTTTTTTCTGCAATTACATCAAATAAACATTCTAATCAAGATTGATTTAAAAAGGAGTCCCCTGACCCATGACACAGTTCTCGCCCATGTTCAGCTCCTCCCTCCATATACAACCCTCACTGAAACACCTGAATCTTATGACAACAGATAAGAATGAAATTAACAGGAGACTAGGAGGAGGCCACTGGATTTGAAGCCTTTCTCCTTGTTTTTTCATCCCAAGAGGTTGCCCTACCCTTCCTGTCTTCTTGTGAGCCCTCTGCCTACAGATACCAGAAGACACAACAGCTTTACATCACTTTGCTGTTTCCAGTGCCAATAAATAAGACCAATACCAGGGGTTATGTGGAATTCTACATAGAAACGGAGGAAAGGAGAGTATTTGAAGCAAAATGACTTCCGTTTGTCTTTGCTCAATAAATGAGGAAGTTGGCAGCTGTAGAAAATATATAAAAAGAAAAGTTTAGCATGGTTTTAGCCATTGTCCTCAACATTTTAATGAGAAGTCTAGTTTATTTCCCTCCGTTCTGATAGATTATTCCATTTTGTAGCAGTCTTCAATGTACTAAATATTTGCATCTTATTAAACAATATACCCTGAGGTACAGAAGAAGTGACTGCAAGTTTCTTTTCATCAAAGATCAGTCATAAAAACGTGAAGCATTTTAGGAAAATGTAGTAAGTCCCCGCTGTACCAGACCATTGAGCCATCAGTTGTTTCTAACACAAATACCATGAAGCATAATTTAGCCCTACACAATATTTGAGGTGTTATCCTCAAAAAGGACAATCATCCGGAGGTCATTATTAAACCCTCAGCTTCCCATAATAAGAAAGGAGAAATAAAAAGCAAATGAATTTAAACTCTTTAAAAACTACTCTATCTGTATCCTTGCATGAATGAGGTCTATGATTCCCTCATCAATTTTGAAAATTCATTCTTTTATTTTAAAAAAACACTTCCTATTGAGTTATTTCTCTATGACACATTCTGGGCACCACGGACCTTGCAGTATATCTGATGCATAAGGTCCCTGCCCTCATGGAGCTTATCTACTAATCAGAAAAGACAGATAATAAAAAGCAAATGCGTAAGTAAATAGTGTGATTCCACAAAGTGTGAGTACTATAGAGAATGATAGAGGGGAACAGAGGGTCAGAGATGGCCTCTCTGAGGAGGTGATGCATGACCTAAGATCTGAACAAGGAGAAGGAGCCACAATTCAAAGGGAGGGGCTAAGAGGAACCTCGGGTACAGGGAACACCAAGTCCGCAGGCCACTTGGCTGTGTTGTTTGGGAACTAAGAGGACAAAGGTCCAAAGAGCAAGGGAGAAGGGAACAGCTGAATTCTGTGACACAAAACATGGCTGGGGAGGTGGGCAGGGCCAGATCTCCCATGAAGAAGTTGGATCTTGTTCCAAATGCAGAGGAAACTGTTGAATGCTTTTGAGCTGGGTCACATCATCCATTCATCTATTCATTTAACAACATCTGTTGACCATTTACTCCACATCAGACATTCCTTCATTGCTAAGAACACATGGGGACAGACAGCAAAATCCCCGCCTCCATGGAACTTTCATTCCAGTTGGAAAGACATATCGCACACATAGATAAATAACTAGTGTGATATCAGGTGGTTACACCGGTCATGGAGAAGGAGAAAGCAGGGATCGGGCAGGAGTGAGGTGGCGGCAATGTTGAGGAGGAGAACTGAGCTGACTGGGGAGCCAGCTGGGTGAGTGAGGAAGAGGGGTCAGGTTTCCAGGCAGCCAGTGCAAAGGCCTGGAGCTGGGGACTTCCTGTGTGTATAAGGAACTGCTCCAAGGCCAGGGTGGCCAGAACAGGGGAGGGAAGGGTGGCAGGTTCAGATTAAGGTTTTAAAATGATCCCTCTGGATGCTGCAAGGAAAAAAGTCAGAAACAAATGTGGTATCGGAATGACATCATTGTTCACAGTTGGATAGTGGCATCTGCCACTTGGTAAAACAAATGTAGCATCATAATTATCAGCAACAACAAGCACATCACCCCCGAGGGGTGATTCTGACCTTCTCAGTTTTCCTTTTCTATTTGACGTTTTTAATTGATGACCAATACGTCTTTAGTCTTGAGTAGTCAATATCTTAGTTATAGATCCATAATGCTTTAAACAAAGTTAGGAAACTTCATTCATTCTGACAAATTTCCTGATTTCTCCTAGCATTTTAGTAAATGTTTAGTTCCCATTAAGAATGAAGGACAATGTCTCAAAGAGCTACTGAGTCATTTTTGCTTCATCATAAGGACAGATTGCTTGTGAGGACACCTTCACTTGCCTGAGATGGAACTCATGAGGCCCTTTTCTCCCCCACCCCAGACCTCTCTATCCTCCTGACGCTTGAATCAACAAAGCAACACCCTTGAGCTTTCTTTTCTGAATGCTCTAACTTACCAACTCTTAACTGGAGGAAGGATTACCAGATAAAATACAAATATTTTAATGGGATATACTTACATTAAAAATAAAACAAAAAACTCACTGTGTAGCCAAGATTCAAATTTAACTGGAGGCCTGGTCCTTTTATTTGCTCGATCCCTACCCCTCACTGGAGGTGACTAATAGAGTCACGTGCAGAGTCACAAAGTGCAAATGCCTGGATTCTGTACCGACCTACTTCAACTAAGTCAGAATTTCTGAGAGGAGCTCTGAGCCACACACCTGCTTAAGGACCACTGTTCTAAAACTTTGAGGTCATGCTCAAAGGAGCACCACAGCCACTGTGTCAGGTGCCAGGGCTATGGCAGTGAACAGTTCCACCTTGGCTGCTCTTTGCCTTCACGGCTCTTTCAGTCTGGGGTAGGGAGAGAGGGACAGTGAAGAGACAGGCGTTAATCAAATCATCACACAAACAAATGCAGAGCTGCCCGTGGGTTCCCAGTTGGGCAGAATGAGGGGGCATCAGCTGGTCTCCAGAAGGATGCAGCACCAGGCCAGCTGTCACCCATGGTGGACTGCCCTACTACATCTCCTCAGATCCAAACCTGAGGCTTCCTGCATGATCAAGTGGAAAGGTCTGTGCCCCAGAAAGGGAAGACACACCTGACATAA